AATGAAAACGATCAAACAAATTTTGCTCCCGTTCCTCATTTCGTTCATACACTCTCCCTTGTTCATGGTCCCATCCACGCATTCTCGTGGAATTTTCTCAGCCCACTAATTTCGAATGTATTCTTTTTTTCTGTTTCCCTCTCATTCACAGACAACCGTTTCCCGTTATTTCTTACGACAGCGATGAATATCGTTCTTGTTACTATCGATAATATTATTATTATTATTATTAACACAACTATGACTATTAATACTGCAAAATGCACTTACGCTTCTACTATTCTTACTTGTACTACCGACAACATCACCACGATCCTACCCGCGAGGTTCCCCCCATCTCTCTCCATATGTCCGTCCGTTCACCAATACAACACCGTGAAACCGCTATGCTCATCACCCCCACCCCACCCCCTATTTTGGTCACTTTGGAGCGCCAGTGATTTGTTTGTTTGTTCTTTTTTCTCTTTTCTTTTCTGATCACATCCGCGTAACACTCGCGGTCTTTTCAACGACCTCACTAGCCCAAACGGTCTGTTATTCCGCTCTTTTCATTTCATCATCATCTATCTGCCCATCTCCGTCCTTATAAAAATGGTTGTCATTGCATTAAAACTGGTTACAGCGCTGTCAACCTACTCCTCCTGCATCGCTTGAATCCTCGTCACTTTGTCATCATCGCTGCCGCCCAGTTTCACACCCCCCTATACATGTAGATCCTCATGGCTGTTGATTCCTGATAATCCGTGTACCGCCACCCGACCAGTTTCTAATCTCTTTTTTTTACAGACGCGCACGCACCGAACCTCAAACCCTGGTTGTTGAAAACAGTCTATGTATGTGCACGTATGGAGTGGTAAAAGTTATTTTGTTCTTCTCTTTCGGTCGATACCCATGTAAATAGTCCGCCCAAACACTCCACTGATCATTTCACTTCTGGCTGTTTGTGTATCCACGCCCCTGTACACCCGTCTGTGTGTGTGCGCGTGTATGCCTCTGTGCTCTTCTCCCCAAGCCATGGTTTTGAAAAGCCATGGTCTCTGTACAATAATCTCATTATATAGGCTTATGACGAATCGCATCCTGTGTTGCATCTGTCTTGTTGTTCACGGATTGCCCCCGGGGTGTTGTTTAACGCTTTCAGCAACCTGCCAGATATGATTGAACCGCAGATACTCTTGTCAAAGCGTTGCTTTTACAGATGAATTCGTACATAACAACTTCAGAGCTACTGATTCCTCACAATGCGTTTTGTAATTATTGCTGACTCTTATTCAACCGTATGCTAGCTTTTCTATACCATGCATAACCTAGGAGAAGGGGGCTCATGTGGTTCGCCGCTCTAAGTTCCAGAACTCAGGTTGTCGGTGTCCATCACTGAACAGCAAACCTTTGCGATTATAGGGTCCACCTGGTCTCCTTTTCATGACACATACGTGTGAAATAAAAAAAATATCATGCACCATTCTCATCAGCGTCGTACCGAGAAAGACGACGAGGCGAATTTTGCTGACCGTAGATGGAGATTGAGCTATTTTGGACAAAGGGTCAACCCAGATTATGTTGTCTAACTCTACATGCACGCTTCTTCAAGCATTCTGAAATGATAACAAACGGCAGCAAGAATGTTACTGCTACTGTTTTACTGTCATGTTCTTTAGCGTCCTCAATCAACAACAGATACGGAAACTTTCGGACAACAGCGAATCTCTATTCTCCATGTCTCTGCTCCGATTCATCTGCTTAACTGCACGTGGTTTCTTTCATCCTGGAACGACACTGCCAACTACGGCTCTGTCAGATAAACGACCATTGAATTTTCACTGTACCTCCCGTACTCAAAGAAGCCTAATGATCCGAACGTGTCCGAGGTCGGTGGAGCATAAACCAGGCGAAATCCAGGTTAATACCTCGAAGGGAATAGTATCTGTTTATCACTAACGCTGTGATTTCGTGATTGCCGTCGATCGTCTAATAGCGGTACAAGAAGCATACTCCTGCTAATATTCATCCACCACTTGTGTGGTCGAGAACATTTTGTTGCTCTGTATGTATCTTACACTTATTTTGGGCTCAGTACCACGCTCGTCCTGATATCATCCTGTCTTCCGCCGTTTCAAATCAGAGGACATGGGTTCCCGGTTGTGATGCGGAAATAGTACTACAGTACTATGGTACTATATCCTATTCACTCTTTGCCTTATCCCTTCCGCTGTTCATCACACACTGGTGAGTTATCAAAAATGATTTGGCGTCAAATGAATCGTGGTTCACATACCTTTGTAACAGAGCAATCCATCCACGTCTAGTTCGGATACACAATTACATATTGCGAGTTTGATAACTTATCACGCAGCACACTTACTGGCTGAATTCGCCAGCGAACTTCACTCAAATATAATGGAACTATCAGTGCTGCTCATATATGGGTGCAAAATGCTTTGAGGGTCACTCTGTCGATTGCTACTCTGTGTTCTGATATCAACTGGATTACAGTTCACAAAGTCAGTCATTGTTGTTCTTTAGCCAAAAAGGTCTTGGTCATGAGTATCACTCGCCGATGAACTATGACCTTCTGTTCGGATGATGTAGCGTTCACTTTGGTAGCCTGAAAATGTCACGTGGTTTGGTGGATGGGACAACTCTTGGCCTACCGTGACGTTTGCATGAAATTTCATTTGGAAATTGATTTGAGAAACTATCGTTTGGATTTGCGAGGTCGTCATTTTGAATTGCGAGAGATTAGCAGGGGTTGGATCTGTTTCCGTCTAATGCACCTCACTGATCAATTGTTCACACGTTTTTTCTATCCCTTGATTGACCACATATTCCATTGTTGAAATGAGGCAGACCTCAGTTGTGCAGGTAGATTCGGTTGGTCGATAAAGCTGTGCGACTTTTAGTACCTGCGCTCAGGCGAAACATGTTTAGAGGGCCGCAAAAACAAGGTGTGATGACCGTGGTTACATAATTCCCCGATAGAGCGAGGCCAAGCGATCAAAATGAATGTACAATGCGCTTTGTAGCCTGATCACCCGTGACCTTCAGCGGACGTAGTGGCTCTTGTAAGCTCTGGATATTGAGTTACCGTCACTGGTGCAGCAACACGGTGATCGCGCATGCCCCATGACTACATACGTGTATGCGTTTTACCATGCTAAATAACCTAGATGTCATGGGAATTAGGGCTTGTGCGCTGAGTTACGTCTCAAAACAGTCTCATCCACACTTCATCAGGAGGTAGCGAAACC